CCTGAATCGCGGGGAGCAGATGGCTGCCCCTCTTTACTCGAAAAGAGGGACACACGAGAGCGGAGCTTTTTCACCGAAAAACGCTCGCAGTGCGCGCAGCCTGCCCCCTCGAGGGCATCGCGCGCGTGCTCTTCGCCCAAACAAACAACGCATAGATCGTGCGAGTCATCGGGTGTTAAATAGCGATGACATGGGTACACACACCTTCTAAACGTCCTACTAGTGCTCGCCATAATAAAAGGAAAGCTCTTACTTTTGCTTTAGAATGCACGCTTCAAACAGAACGGTCAGTGAAGACGAAAAAAGCGAATGATGTGTGCTACCGGCGCCTATTTTATAGTCGCACCGGTAGTGACATCATGGCTGTCGCCGGCCAACGAGTTGGTGTTATTTCAATGTATGCTTCAGACACGGGTCACGACGAGGCGTTCCCCATAGCGACCCCTAGAGGACGCAGTTCGAAGTTCCACGAAAGGGAACTTAGCTATCTGTTTAAAATAATTTATTTAAATTTTTAATTATCTAGAATACACACAAAGATTTTATTTCTATGTTAAAAGAAATTTTTATTTAATTTTTTGTTTTGTTTTTCTGTATTATACATAATAAATAATATGATTTTGGTTTGCTCATCCTTGTTTGTCGTTAATTTCACAAAGCACATTTTTCGACAATTTGTTCATAGTATATTACAGATTTTGTCTCCTTGTTGATGTTAATGTTGTTTGAAATAATAAAGACTAATTTTGATTTTATTCCTACATGTTAAAAGTTTAAATTTTGTTCATTTATTTCCAGCAGCTGCAGTTGATTCTTATTTGTTAATATTATGTTAAAGTGTGTTGATTAAAGGTCCCATATTGTCAAAACTGAAAGTTCCTGGCTTTTTTTAACTACCATATAAGTTTCAAAACAGTCAGTCCACAGAAAAATGCACACAGCCTGCATAAAGTAGTTGTGATTTTTCACGAACCATTGTGACTTCCGTAAAAAGATGACGTCAGAACTACACAGTCACCGCCTTCAGTCACCACCCCGAGCACCGCCCACCGTCCCACTCTCCTTTTGCCAAACCCCCAGACAACATCACGTCCATGCCATTGCTGAGCAA